GAATTGTTAGCTCTGCCAGAGATATCAGCGACCGGAATCGGGGCAAGTACAAAAGACCTCGGATGTGGCAATCGGACATGTTAATCTGGTTTCTGGACTTCATTCACTTCCCTTCCTGCCCTCCAAACTCAATGCAATGCATTTCAATTTTTTTTTCTTTTTCTGGACTCTGTCTTAACCCTCTGAGTTTATGAGGCACTGAGGCACGCGTGCGATGGATGGATAGATGGTTGGTTGAATGGTCAAAGACCGTTTAGGAGTGGCAGCTGTGGGGCATTGTTCTGGCTCCCAGTTTTTAGCCACAAAACTGGTAGCACGTGCCATCGCTCATTGCCCCCATACTGTGTAGATTCCCCAACTTTTCCCCGTCGACTTTCTGCGGTTGAATGATGGAGGGTCTCCACTTTTAGAGTGAGAGAAAGAGGGAGCCCACAAAAACAGGTGCGAAAGTCAATTATGGTTGGTTGGTCAGAGCCAAGCAGAGCGAAATCGATTTTGAGAAACCCTTTTCAAAAACGGATTTAACCACCGCATGACGCCCTCGACACGTCGCCAGAGCCATCATTACCCCTTGACAGGCGATCAAGATCCCAGACCAGACTGATCCCTCACATTCTACCTGCTAACTCTGTCTGATTGATTTGTGTCAGCGCCTCGATCGCAATTGAGACAAATCTCCAGCCAAACATTCGGATCCATTCAGGAACATCATTTTTCATTGAGTAACTTGGTGGACGGGATTGGAGATCGAGATATGTCTGTGATGCAATTCGAAAGGATCATCATTATGGACCATTGAGCATCTCAGGGCATGACTTGACAATATGCTTGATAGATAGAGAGAGAGAGTTAGAGGGGTCATCATCGAAATCAGATTATGAGGATAATTGTTTGTTTGGTAAATATGTCTAAGAGTTGTCTCTAATGGGGTGGAGGGTAACGCAGTTGGGTTCCCAAAGGAAGATGTAGCTTAGGAAGGCTAACGTGACCACCAGGAGAGGGCCTTAAAGAAGGCTTTGCTTTTCTTTAAGTCTAAAAATCTATATATTAAGATATATAGAGTTCTTGGTGTGCCTTTTCCTTTCTTGTTTTAACTTTAAAACATCAATCTTTACCAAGTTAACTTCATGTTACTTCTGAGTCCTCACATAAACCCACAAATGTCAACATTCATTAAAAAGGAATATCCTTTCGCATAAGCAAACCTTTTTTTTTTTGGGCCTGGCCTTGACCACCAAGTGATTGTGGCTCTAATTAAATGTGTCCTCAGGCGTCTGATTAATTGTGCCGTTAGAGCCGGAATGAGATCACCGAAAGATGGAAATCTGTGGAGACACATGGACCTCGGCTTGGACGTAGGACCGATGATGTTTTTTTTTTGCTAATCTAGAGACTGGGGCAGCTGTCAGGACATCAAAGTGACAATTTGAGTGACTTTTACCGAGAATGGCTAATTTAAAATGCGCTGAAACAAAAGGACACTTAGGCTGCCGGCAGGACAATGGATGACATGCTGACAGGTCCTCTACATTTCCACCAACCCACCTAACCCAACTCCCCAGCATATATATTTTTATAATTTATCTATTATGCATGAGGGCGCTGGCAAAACCCTTTGGCTGTCAACACATACACACACATACACATCAAGGACAACGAGTGACACATGAGGTCCTGCTGGCTGCTGCTGACCAACTGCAAATCTCGGTGAAAAGTTTTTGGCCTGACTTTGCATTAGCCGCGCATTAAAAATGCACAGGAAAAAGGGATCGGGGCAGCCAAGCTGGGCGACACAAAAGTTACCTGGTCCAAAACGACACCCTTTCACCCACCACCCAAAAACCCAGACCCAAGCCCAACCTTAGCTTACCCACTTGTCGTGGGCTGTCAGAAAACTGTCACTCAAACGTAATTAACACCGGAGATGGAGGACTAAAGTGGCTCAATGTCGAGCGGACTGAGAACTTTTACCATTTTTCAGCCGAAAGTTGATTTTTCCAAAAGACCAAAATGGGGGTAAACGTTCCTGGACAGAAAAATAACATCTGAGGGCAATTAGAATTTAAAATAGGAAATCCAGATTCCCTGTAACAATTACGAAAATTCTTGTCGAACGGAAAAACTTTCTTCGTGTCGTGTCATTAAAAATGTAAGAAGCGAAAATTAACTTTAATTGCAATTTGATCTTGGCTTTTCCTCGTTTGATAAATTCGTTTTGTGGGTTTTTGTCCGTCTTTCTGACGACGCTGACAATGTTCCTTTTTGAGGGAGGTCAAAGGTTAAAGCTTTTTTGACTTCCGTTATTAGGTTAATTGGTAGTATTTGTAATTGAACATTGCCATAATGGGACAATGATGTTTCCAAATGAGTTAAGGTTAAGGAAATGGTTAAGGAGAGGCTTAAACTTTGAAGAATTGACAGATTGATTTTTTGGTTAATTGGGCTTTTAGGGAAGTATTTATTAATAATTTAGATCAATTAAGTTTATTAAATGTTTGGGGTTATTCTAAAATGAATGATTAAATGTATTTTTAATTTACAAAGTTTTAACTTATTACTTAACTGTTATTTGTCGAGTTTGGTCTTTAAAGATAATCACTTTTTAATGTTTGTCCGAAAAATATTTAACAAAATAAAAACAAACAAGGTCTGTCTCTATTCTAATCATATCTTTAAACTTAATCTTTACAACCTAATATTCCCTTTAAAAAAACCCCAAACTATGGAGACCTGAATAAATCACGAACTCTTGCCTAACCTCAAACCAAAGACTCAAACAACGAACCTGGCGATGTCAATTAGCAAATCGAGAGCTAACTGTTAAAAACCGAGAAACCCGAATCGACAGCTCCATCGATAGCCATCTCTTTCTACATGTACAGCTCATGTACTGGCTTTCCTTGTTGTTGTTGCAAAAACAAAAAGCGGTGACAGCAACGCATGCGCCGGCAGAGAGCTCTGCGATTGGCCAACATAATCTGCAACCAATGGCAGTTAAGAGAAAATGTTACTAAAAAGTTAAAAAAAACAAACAGGGGGAAAGAAGAGGAAACAAAAGTTGGAGTTGGGCTAAAATAGTGAAAAGTGATTTTTTAATTGCTTTAATAGTTTTACGGCAGCTGACGGGGGAGTTGGATTGAAAAGAATGGGAGGACAGGTGAAAAGTGGGAAGTTTAACTATAGATACACCTTAAAAAGATGGTTTTCCTTAAAGATTGTTAACAATATGAGTTTATAATGTATTTTAACTCATTTATTTATTTATCTTTGGAAAAGTTTTATAAAAAGAGGAAAATTCAGTTTTTTTCATTCTTATGATTATTTGTTTAATTTAATTTTTAACTCATCCCTCATAACCCAAACTCAAATTCCATTTAATTTTGCAAGCACAGAATCTTTTGTAATTTTTAACTTAAAATAACTTTACATTTCCCTAAGTGAACTTTTGCTGTTGACAGTTCGCACAAAGCGAGCTTTTATTTGCTGCATTTTCCTACCGTTTTTCCTGCCAGCGCTGTCACTCCCGCCGCTGCATGCATAATTAATTTGGCTTTTAGTGACTGCATTGTGTTCAGTCCTCGTCCTGGCCAACCGATGTCCTGCCATATCCTGCTATATCCTCTGGCGTCTCGATTGTTTTTGGCAACAATTTGCTTGCCACATTGACGGGTTCGCGCTAATGGCTTAAACATGTTTTTACCTTTTGACTTTCTTTTTTTCCCCACATTGTTTTTGGCGTGAATTTAATTTTTTGTTTGTTTTGTAGATTTGCGGTCATGTTCATATGTGTTCATATGGGGAACGAGTGAAAATTGACATTTACACAAAAACCTTCAGGGCTAGCCTTGGGTTTTATGGAAATGTGTAAAAATTACCACAATTTGTTCTAGTCAAAATAGTTGAGAAGAGAAAATAAAGTTAAAATGGGATTTGAAATGTTATTTCTTTGTCTCTCTTGGCATTTTTGGGATAATTTAGATTGGGGAAATGATTTTGTCTAGTCTTGTTTTTTATTTGGACTTCAATTTATATGAATTGCAAATAAATTTAACTTTAAAATGTAACAATTTTCAACGATTAAAAAGGTTTTCCAAAATATCCTCTGTGTTTGTAGAGCTTCCTAATAAAACCATATATGTAAGTCTGCCTTTTCATCTCAAAAGTAAGTTGAAAGTATGATTTAAACTGAGAAAACTCAAGAAGAGGTATGCCTAAGGTTGGGAGGATATTAAGGGTTATTAATTGAATTTATATGAACCATAGTATTCCTTTGTAATTTGGCTTTAACATCATTTCTTAACTCGAATATATCTTAAACATGTTAAAATATTTCTTAAATCTTATCACTAAGTACAAAATTCGTATTATACCAAATTTATATAAGATTTAATTCAACTTTATTAAACTTTAGCCTGCTGACGTTCAATAGCCCTTATGCATATTTAAATCATTAGCTTTGGGCAACTTTTCCATTCTCATAGCATCTAATTAACCCAAAAAAGTTAATTCCTCCGTCAAAGTCAATCCTCGCCAAAATAAAAAAACCCCAAAAAAAAACGCCAAAAAAAGAGGAAAACGAACAAAAAGTAGTGAAATATCACATCATCACCTGACGTTTTGGGGTAAATTACATTTTTATGTGGACATAAATAAAATATAAAACGCATTTGCTGTCCCATTCATACCCGCAGTCCCTCTCCTTTAACCCATTAGGGGACCCTCTGATTGCGTTAACCCATTGGATCCCATGCTCCGCCTTTTGCCAGCCCCTGTGTGTATTGGTGGGAGTGTATATGTTTATATAAAGTTTATGTGTAGACTGGGGGGAGCACCAACACCAAAGCAGATACGATGATTTAGCCCTCTCTCTTTTGCTCACTGTACGTTTGGCGCCATCTCGCTCACGCCCACGAAAGCAACTTCTTCGGCTTTTCACTTCGGGATATCAGTGTATGGTGCTTATATACATACGAAGCTTTCTCACTCTCGACCATTTACGTGTGCAAAGCGTGCGTGTGTATTAGTGCGGGTGTGGTGGGGGCGCCATTTAAATTACGTTCGCTGTGTGCTGTTGCTTCTCATTTGTTGGCTGCTGAGAATCCCAAAAGGCACGCACACACTCACACACATACACACAAAGGCGAAAAAACCAGTTCGCCTAGTTGTCGCCCTCTCCTTTCATCGCCCTCCTGCCTCACGCTCTCTTTCTCTGTCTCTCGCTTTTGGGCTCTTTGGCACTCGGCCTTTGGCTCTGCGGCTCTGATTTTAGTCACATTTTGGTGCTCGCGGCAATTGGACGTCCTTCGTCTCGCGCCTCGTGCTTTATAAAAAAAAAAATAAACACACAACCCAAGCTATAATCCATACATTAACATATCAAATATAATGATCCTTTGGTGCAGCAAGGGACTTAACTAAACTAAAAGTGTTTGTCAAGAAAGTGCAGCTTAAGTGCCTCTTAAAACGAATTTAGTTGAATTTTAAAGTTGAATAAAGTTAAAATTAAAACAAAAAAGGAAAAGGAAGACAAGATTATGCCATGATATGATGGCCCTAAAGATGTTATATCGCGGTCCCAGTTCGCGTTTGGAGAATTTAATCGAAAAGATCCAGGCCACCAAGGAGATATCCAATAACGGTAATTTTTAGCGATTGTGGTGGTGCTTATTGAAGAAGAAAGAAGGAGATGAAAGATCACCGGTTAGGACAGAAATCTCCAAAACTCTCCAATTAGAAAGATAGCTAAAAACTTAAAAGTTCTTAAGAACTTAGACTTTAAAGTTTATTTCTTAGGAAAGGCTTAAAAAAAGGTTTAAAATCCAAGAGCGTGAGAGAAAAGCATTTATAATTTAAAGTGAAAATGCCGACGGTATGCCAACATTTTAGTTCGACCTAAAAAATGATCACGTTTAAGAAGACTTTACAAAAGAATTCCCAATAAAAATAATTTTTTGAATGAACATAATTATCCTTTACTAAAAAATGCATTCAAAGACCTCCAACTTTGGTATGCCAAACAAATTTGGCAGTAGAATAGGCTCTTCTTTCCTCAAAAGTCTTCAAACTCTACAAACCAAATTGCAATGTCTCCCAAATATTTTTGCATCTCAACTTCAATCATAAATCCTAGAAAATCTCCATCAATCTTCTCCAATCAGTTCAACCTCTTTGACACTTGACGTTCCTACCCCCACAAACCATTCTTGACCACAAACCAAACTTTTCAATCAAATCCGAATGGGTTAAAATCTCTTACAACTTTCTTTAACCCCAAAGATCAAGACGTATGAGTGAGTCAAGTGGCCTGATGCATCAGCTTGATGTTTCTCAATTAGAGCGACAAAACTTAGACCACAGATCAGAGTTCAACTGATCGGAGGGTTAAACAAGACAAGAGGAGGCAACACCACCACTTTGCCCCGACCCAGAGCATTATCCCGAAAAGAGATACACAGACAGACTGAGAGACGGAGATCATAAGCAATTGGACTTAATTAAAAGTTGTCGAAAAAACGGGAAAGTGAACATCGGCACTTGGCGCGTGGTGATAGATGCCAGAATCTAGGGGGGGGAGGAGGTTGATCAAGCAAGTGACCCTCATGGATGCGCCTGGGGCCTGTAATTAAAACGGCAGCAAGAACAAAGCGCAATTAGTTTGCATGAGACTCGCTTACAGTTTCACAGCCCACTGGAATGGGGTGTCGTCGTCTGGTCAACACCAAATGTTGCCCCCAGGCTAATTGAATTAATTCCGTGTCCAGCATTTGATAGCCGACGTTGATTTCCTGTCCAAGTCCCCCAAAGCGCCGCTAATCAGGATGCTGCCTCCCACTCGATAAGGCGGAATCTACTCTAATAAAAAGAAAAATAGCTTCCCATGATAGAAGAAACATTAATAAGAACTTCGTTCTACAGATGTAGAGTAGATACATGGGAAAACATAGAATAATTTAAAGTATTAATCCAACTTACATCCATTCTGATCTACCATCTCTATAATCCTCATTACTAATCATAAACTCTTCCTTTTTCCTTTCAGATATGTACAGTACCCACACATCGTCCAGTTACTCCCCAAGCATTTCTGACGGCACAATGACACCCAATTCCCACCACTTACCTGGCGCTCCCAACACCGCTGGTCACGAGGATCATCCAGCTGAGGGCAAAGTAAATGGTGGCACCGATGGCGATGAGTTACCGAAGCCAAAACGTTTGCCGCACTTCCATCATCATCACCACCATCACTATCATCATCAACAGGCGCTGAAAATAGCCAACAAGCTGCGCAAAATCAATAAGGAAGCCAAAATGGGAGCTACCGCAGGTGCGGGATCCACAGGAGCAGGCTCCAAGTTTGATAAGTTGACAGGGGAGGGGATTAAAAGTCGCGGCGACGGCTCCTATCAGTGCCAGTTCTGCGACAAGACATTTCCACGTCTTGGCTACTTGAAGCATCATGTACAGGTGAGTCACCAAAATTGAAAGGGTTCAAAGTTCAGGGCAAACTCCAGCTGAAGGGTGGGTGGTGACTCGACCACAAGTGGGTGGCTGGGAAAAGTTCTTAATTACCATCTTGACTTGCTTGGTAAGGAGCTTATTCCATTTTTAGAGATGGGTGTCTTCCCTTGATTGACATTCAACCTCTTAGGTGACAGACTCCTTGATGCTTAGAACACCTTTCTGGCATTCAAGGCTGAGCTTTGATTGACAATTTGCGGTGGCTTCATTGATTTTCTTGTTAGGAAAGGGAGGTTTATTGGGTTTTCCATTTGTTAATTGAAAATGAAAGTGGCAAAGATTGTTCTGTATTGAATTTAAGATTAATTTGTATGTTCAAAGTGAGAGAACCGCAATTTAAAATACTTCTCAAATCTGAAGTAGGCTGAATGTCCTTCTCTATGTTTCCCTTAACAAACATCCTTAATCAACCAAATTAGAATCAAGTGTATTATTCAAAACATGCATGTTTTTTATCATTCATCTAACACTCTTTCGGAAATCTTAAAAAAGAACATCAAAGACCGCAGCCTTTGTGGACACCGCAGTTCACCCACATGCCCCCGTCTGGTCATGATTCTAATTCGGCTTAAATGCTTTTTAAGCTGCCAACACCGCCCATGACATCAGCAACTTGTTAACCCAATTGCAACTGCTGTTTAGGACTACCGAGCAGCGATCTTAATCGTCAACCAGGGTCTAACATGTAGCTCTCCGGCTTTGATCCTAGCGCCTGGATGGGTTGCTGCTACGGTTTGGAATTTGGATTTCGGATTCTAGTCTTTGAGCTTATGGGATGTTTGTTGATGGCGATGATGATTGGACAGCGACAGTTTAAAAAACCATAACCAACACGAGAGAAGTTTTTTGTTTTTTGCGGTCTCTGGATGCGACTAACCCGGCTAACTCATCATATATTGTGCAATTTTAAGGCAGTCCAAAGCTGGGGGGCTGCATACAAATGGGCTAATTTTTTGCTTTTGCCGCTCTCAAAGTTCAAAGCCGGCTGCCGCTGAAAGAACCCAAAAAGCGAACCGGTTGCGGGTGTAGTTTAAGACCCAACCTCAGCACCTGCCCCTTGCTCTGCCTTAGCCTGCTAAAAAAAAAAAAGAAAAGAAAAGAAGTGGCGTCGCGCATTTAGATGAATTTTGTCCACAAGCCACGAGTCGCAAGCGAAACACCTACTCGTCTGGGCCTTTCAGTTCGAGTCCAAGTCCGAGTCCGAGTCAGTCGGTATGCAGATTCAGATTCAGATTGACGCATCTATAAATTCAAGCCAGGAGTCAGAGTCGTCGTCGTAGTCGTCATCGTTGTCATCGCAACTTTTAACTGGGGTAGACGGACAGTTGACGCTGCCTTGTCTGGTGCTCTTCTAAGAATTTCAAATAGCCTAGTGGGCCGTCCTCTGGCTAATTGCTCAGATTATCTTAATGCTAATGGGGTTTTCCAAATTTGTGTATTTTCATTTTTCCAGAGCCACGCCGAACACCTGCCTTTCAAATGCGAATACTGCTCCAAGCTCTTCAAGCACAAGCGTTCCCGAGATCGTCATAAGAAGTTGCATACCAACGAGCGGAACTACAAGTGTCCACATTGCGAGGCAGCCTTTTCCAGGAGGTAAGTTAAGAAGTCTTGGAAAATTTAAAAACTTTCAACTAACTCATAGATATTTGTTCTTATTATCTTCCTTTTTAGTGACCATTTGAAGATCCACATGAAGACCCATGACATCCAGAAGCCCTTCCAGTGCAGCATGTGCAACCGGGGCTATAATACAGCCGCTGCTCTCACCTCTCACATGCAGAAGCACAAGAAGAATGCAGCCATCCTGGCAGCTGGTGGTAATCCTAATGCCCTGAACTACAGTCCACGATCCACGGGATCTGCCTCGGCCTCGGTGTCTAGTAATGGCAGCCTGCAAAAAAGGAGATATGCCTTGGCTTTGGCCTCAGATAGTAGTCCAAGCAGATTGGATTTCCCCAAGAGATCGAGAAGTAGTCATGTGGGTGGCACTACCACCACAGCCACTCCCACTCCTCTACTACGATGCAGTTATTGCCCCAAGGTCACGGAGTTCAGTAGTCTGGAGCAACTGAATGCCCATCTCCAGAGTGTACATGAGCAACCGCAGGCTGTGAAGACTCCAGTCCAAGAGGGCGAAGGCTTCCAGCTGAGCTGTGAGTACTGCACCATGAAGTTTGGCAACATTGCTGGACTTTTCCAGCACATGAGAGGCACTCACATGGACAGATTGAGCAGCCCGAACTCCTACTATGAACACTTCAATCGCCTGGCCACCGCTGGCACTTTCAGTCCGCGACTTGCTTTGGATATGCCAAAAATTAAACCGGATTTGGGAAGTCCGGAGAGGGAAACGCGTCCAGCAGAGGATGATCTGCCCACGGATTTGAGCAGCAACAAAAGGCGGCCACTGACACCCAATCCCCAGACCCACACCCAACTGGCACCACCCACTGCCCCGCCTGGTGTCTTCTTCTGCAATCAATGCAACGCCGGATTGCCGGATTTCGAGAGCTTCAGGAATCATCTGAAGAGTCACATTGCCGAGGGAATGCAACTAGTTTGTCCACATTGCGGATTGAGTCTCCCGGAGCAATCCGAGTTCGAACGTCATGTGGTGGGTCACTTCCTCATTACCGGGTCAGAGTTCAACTGCAGTTCCACCTGCGGCAAGAGCTTTGCCAAGTCGGAGGATCTACAGCAACATCTGCTATCCGAGCATGTGCTAACCCTGCTGAAGTGCTCTTTGTGCTCGGAACTGTGTGAGAGCCGGATGGCCATGCAGCTTCATCTGGCCTGTGCCCATAGTCAGGAAACCAAACTCTTGCGGTGCAGCGCCTGTTTGGAACTCTTCCGGTCCGATGCCGAGTTCCATGTGCATGTAAAGACGCGTCATCAGCTGGGCGGACATCCCGCGTTGGGTGCCACTTCCAATGCTCCCACTAATCCGCTGCAGTGCATGTTCTGCCGAGCAGTTTGCTCTTCCGAACTGGAGATGCACTTCCATTTGGCCGCCCATGCCAGACAGTTTCGGTGCCCCTCCTGCCCGGAGACCTTCCATGTGGAGTTTCTTTTAGACCGTCACATGCAGAGTCAGCATGGTGGTGGTGTCAAGGACAAGGAGGCTAGCTCACCCAATATGGGCAGTCTCTATGTGAATGCCTTGCTACCTCCTTTGGCGGCAGCGGCGGCGGCTGCGGCTGCCACAAACAACAACAGTAGCATTATCGACTACAATGTGGCATTCAAAGGCTTGTTTGGAGGAGCTGCTGCAGGAGCAGGACCAGCAGGAGGAGGTACAGGAGGTCCACCACCTTCGAGCAACAAATTCTACAGCCCCTTGCAAGTGGACACCAATGCATTGAAGCCCCAAACCTCCCCGCACCCGGCTCTGATGTACGGTCTGAGTCAGCGTTATCTGATGGAGATGTATGCCGCCAAGTCCACATCGCCTTCGGGCAATGAGGGAGTTGGAAACCCTCAACCTCCGACGCCACAGGCCACTGCAGTGCCACCGCCACCAAGTGCCACCACTGCCACCTTCAGTTGCGGAATGTGCGAACGACAGGATTTGCGCAGCGAGGCGGAACTCCACTCCCATCGAAAGTTGGCTCACAATCTGAAGACCGGAGTGAGTCTGAGATGTGCCTACTGTGCTGGCAACTTCAAGTCTCGGGCAGAACTGGAGCAGCATATGAAGAGCTGCCACAATTCGACGGGCAAACACAAGTGCTTGATATGCGATGAGGTGTTCCCCTCACCAGCCATCTTGGCCGAGCACAAGCTCCAGCACTCCAAGGTTGGACAGTCTGGCAAGTGCTCGCACTGTGGACAACCGCTGGAGGATGTGGCTGCCTTCAGGGCTCATCTATCAGAACATGGCAGTGATGGGGCATCCTTGCCATTAGCCTGCATTTGCTGCCGCCAGACGTTGCATTCGGAATTTGAGCTAAGTCTACATGCCAAATTCCACACGAAGTCCTCCTCGAGTGGTGGCAGTCTGCAGGAGCCAGTATGTGCCCTGTGCTTGGAGCCCTTGCCCGATGCCACTGAAGGACCAGCTAAGCTCTGCGACAAATGCTGCCGCAAACATAATCTGAATGGAAAGCGTGGCAAGCACACTGAGCCACCAGCATCTCTACAAGCTCCAACCGCGGCCTTCGTAGAGAACCGCTGCAACCTGTGCAAGATGATCCTGCCACATGCCCAGAAACTCCAGGAACACCTGGTGGAACATACCTTTGCCGGCACTGAACAGCGTGGCTTCAATTGCTATATCTGCTCGGCTGTTTTCACCGCACCTGGAGGATTACTCAACCACATGGGTGAGCATGGAGCTCATTCGAGGCCCTATGATTGCAGTATCTGCCCGGAGAAGTTCTACTTCCGAGCTGAGTTGGAACACCATCAAAGGAGTCACGAGCAGAGACCACGTCCACCTGTGCCAAAGGTAGAGGTTCCCACCATTCGGAACAGTTCACCCAGCCAGAGTCCAGTGAGAAGCCCCACGATTGTCAAGCAAGAGCTGTACGAAACGGATACAGTGGAGTCTGCTGGAGGTGAGGATGAGCCTGAGAATCATCCAGAGGAGGAGGAATACATCGAAGTAGAACAAATGCCGCACGAGACACGTCCAAGTGAGATTGGGTCGCAGTTGGAAAGGTCGACCAATAGCGCTTGAAAAATGATTGGAAAAGTAGAAAAATATTACGGAAACTCATCAAGATGAGATGATGAAAACCTACTTAGAGGGCTGCCTAGTATTTAAAAGACTGTTTCCAAACTTTGCTTTTAAAAACAATGCCCCGAAGATATTTCGAACGTTTAGCATATTTATTTTTATAAACGAAAAACCGTTGGTGAAAACTCCAAAGTTTTGGGCCCCAGAAAACTACTAGATCTTGCCACTTATCAGAACAAAGCAAATGGAACAGTTTAGTATTAACCGTATACTATATAAATAATTATATATACAAGATAAATCGAACTTTGCATAAAAATCCATAAACTAAGTAAACGTCAAACATAATCAATATAACACATACGCCTAGTGTACTCGTAGAAACTTTTGACAAGAATAACGAAAAAAAAAAGAAAAAGGAAAGCATTTGTGTGTGATAGTTTTTTCAAAGATTCGACTCCCAGCTATTTATCTTCGATTATGATTTTAACTATTATAGATTTGTATGTTATATAGGGCCTTGCCTCTGATTCAGTATTTATATAATGTATTACACGATCCAACAACAACAACAATAACTAACCATGTAACTAACTAAAACAAAAATATCTATGTCTTATATAAGCACCAAAAACATTTTTAATGTGTAGCATAAAAAAAAACTGGAAAAAAAAGAAAGGAAAACAAAGGAAAATATTTAGTAAATAAAACAAACACAAGTTGAAACCAAAAACGCGTGATATATTTTATGACTTTACTTAGAAGAGGGGTGGTGTGGTTAGGGAGGGGGGGGTTGGTATATAAATCTGATAAGAAGTGTGTCTTTTATTCTCCGTTTTTATGGAAGCTGACATGCTGACATGCGCGGGCCAGAGAGGCGGCGAGGTCTCCTCGAGGGCTCCTCCAAGTCCAAATTTTATGGCGAATATTTCGTTTCTGGTTTATTTCGGCAAGCGCGACACGTAATGGCCATAAAAAAGGTGCGCAACAGGGTAACCCGTAACCCGTAGCCAGTAGTCTGTTCCCCTTTCCCCTCTCTTCGAGTTTCGCCACGACAAATTGGCATCTCGCTGTTGGGTGATCTCTATCTGCAAGACCGGTGGCAATTACCCTCGGGCCGCCTCTGACGCTTCTGTTGTTTCCCGGAACGCTCCAAAACTGGTTGAGGATCGTTGGTCTAATCTTGCAGCAAGCCAGCCAGTCAGCCAGCCAGTCAGCACCTCCTGCTTCTGGGAAGCAATTGCAAATAAATCGCATTTAATAAATTGCAGCAGGAAAAAAGGCACCGACCGATGCCGATGTCTATGTACGCACCTGCCTCCCTGTCGGCGGCAATCATCACAAATCAATAAAAATGTTTATCATCAGGCTAAAAACAATTGGCCCGGCCCAGCGCTCTCTTGGCTAAGTAAATACAAAAACAAAAACAAAACAAAAAAACTGCACCGGCAGTTGTTAATTAGCGCCATGCCAGAAATGCCAAAACGTCCGAAGGAAAACCAGCAACTACACACAACGGGCCAAACAAAAAAACTTGGCTATCGGAATTGCCGGCCACAATCGAAAGCTATGGAGAGGGAGAGAGAGCAGACTTCATTGATCGTTTTGGCCGCACATGTACTCGATCCCAGCCAGACCGCCAGGCGCGTCATCCGCTGGATACCAATCCCCTAAAGTCCCCCCCGCACGTCTTCAATTTTCCGCGAACTCTTTTTCTGTAGTTTAGCGTCACCAATATGTCCCAAGTGCTGGAGATGATGATGATGATGGCTCTGGCAAATCAAAACCTCCAACGTATCTTGGTAACAACTCTGATCGCATCGATTCGCATCGCTTTATTTTTGGTATTTCTGGCATTTGACGGGTTTTTACACGCTGCCGTGACAGGGGAGTTGACAGTGGTAAGAAGGTGATGATAAGTTATTAATGGGAAAACAAATTCTGATAGAGGTAGATAGTTCTTTACCTTACTTTACTACCTTACCTTACTTTACTATCTTCTTAAACGACTCCTTATGATAAGAAGTGGCTTTTGCTTTAACTTGTCTTTCCCTTTTTCCTTTTACTTTGCACTTTAGTAATAAATACAGATTTTCCGATCACTTTTTTTCTATATATTTCTTAAGTATTTCTATTTAACTATAAACCACATTCTTAAGCTAAAAATCTTTAACTTTTAAGATCTCTTAAACACTAATAAACCTTAACTTTTCATCACCTTTACAACCAATATCTTCCAGGCCACTGTTCCACAATTGAAAGTCTGACAGGCTGACTGACTGACAGTTTGGCAAACTGGCTGACCAACTGTCCAGACAACTGGGATGTCCAACAACCATACTTCTCAACTTGAAGTTATATATGAACATACATCCATGGAACCCCCAGCTGCTTGGCAAAGTGTTGGCCAACTCCATAAACTGGCTGGCATGCGGGAAAAGCATTTTTGGGTCCGCACTGCGGTTACATTGACAAATGAAGAAGCTCCCATCAGTCAGCGAAATTGAAGAAAAAGCAGCTCCATTCGCTCCTGGACTGATGAAGATGCCCAGAAAACACCCAAAAACCAAGTGGCAAATGGAGACAAATGATGATCAGAGAAGCCAAGAAGGAAAGGAGCGGAAAAAGCTGTGAAATGAGCTCAGGTCCTTGACAATGAGGGGTAAGTGATGTCAGTGAAATATTTTCGCATGCCCTATTAAACAAAAACAAAAGTGAAAAATTGTTTTCTTTCTTTTTTGCGCACACAACCCCTCTGTAAATGCTTCCTCTTCCGGCCAGGGAAAACAAGCTGGAGGGGGGGTTCAAAGAGTTTTAAGGACATGGAATGTGTGCCAAACATGCAATATGTGGCAGGGAAGAGGGCTACTACAGTAACATTATATTCATTACCGGCTTATTAGCGTGATTTACCGATTGGGGGAGTGATGTGTAGAGTATCCTGGGTAAGCATAAGGAGGGAGTAAGTGATTGAGGGAGGTACAAAGCCTGGGAAAATGACTTTGAAAGCGCCATATCCCATATCCGTTTGTCAATAATATCGTGCGAATTTTCCTGATGGATGGATGCCACAGGATATTCTTCTACTTAACAGCTTCCTAAAAGTATCTCCTTCTCATCCTCTTCCTTTATGACACATGCAAATTTTGTTTTTGATTTGGGTTCGGTTATTAACCATAAAGTTCATCTTCTAATGGGAGGGTTTCATCTTCATTTGGAACTTGTCAATTGCCTGTCAACTTCCTGTCTGAAATTGTCTGAGCTAGGGCTAGCCGCTAATTAGCCAGTGACCAGATCACAGAGATACAGATCTTGTTGAGGATACTCAGCTCTTCGACGCGAGGCGCTAATTCAATTAATAATCCCTCCGTTCTGGAGGGGAGTAAAACCAAAAAAAAACAAACACGCGCGATCTATATCAGAACGGCAATTTACACAAATTAAAACTAAACAGTTACCCTCCGTCCTGCACACTTAATTATGCAATTACTAGATAATTTTTCTTCTCTTCCAACTTGCGTACTTGTTGTTTTTCTTCGGCGGCACGAGCTGGGGGTAAGGCAGAAACGAACCGGAAACCGAAAACAGTTGCAGATACAGATACATAATCTCTCGGATACACATATGCGAGCAGCTCCCATTGGTTGAATGTTCGACTCTCTACTTTTCTCTTTGATTGTGTGCGTATGTGTGTTTCTATAGGTGTTTATGTACTACTTTTTGGGATACACATGAGTAGGGAGTCATTAGGGGCGTGGCAAGGGTGGTTGAGTTGCTGATTTGCAGGTTATCCGATTGTTAGAGAAGGAAAAAGTTCTTTGTAACCAGATTTAAGCTTAGAAACTAAATGGGAAAGTTAATAGAAAAGAAAGATTTATATAGAAAGATATAACCTTAATCTTATCCCTATATAAGCCTCATATAACCTTTAAGAAACCCCCTCAACATTCCACTTCCTTCCTACACCCAAAACTTCATGCCACAAAATCCTCTAACTGATGCCCCTTATTAGATCCTGAACGTGCCGAAATCGGCGTTATGTAAATGGATATCGATACGCGATCATCGCCATGGATGATTGATTGATTGATTGCCATTCAGGGCAGGGCCGATGAACAGGCAGCACCAAATATAAACAGCGATTGTGAAGGACAAAGGAGGCCCGGGATGCCTTAGCATTTTGCGGGCGGTTTGTTTTCTATGCGCAATTTATAAAGTTGCTGACACAATAATGGGAGCCAGGAGCAGGACACGCCAGGATCACCTCGCCGCATGGCACCTCCGCCTTAAATTCTCGCGAATTAATTTAAGAAAGAAGCTGAAATTGCGGTCCCGCTGATGCTGCTGCTGTTGCTGCTCTTGCTGGAGAACATTCGAAAAAAGTATTGTGTTACCAGGAGACGGTAGCTCTGCATAGGAATTGGGATTGGGATCGAGATCTGGGACCAATGGCAGCAGGAACCGCTGAGCGTCCCAAGTTGGTTCGCCTTGATAAGACTATAAAAGGTCCTCCAAGACAAAAGGACCTCAGCAATTGCCCAGGCATTTCCTCGAGCGTGTTTATATGCTTTGCGCCTTCTTATCCCTCGATTTCTTATCACGGCAAAAAGATCAAATTTCGAGAGGGAGCAGCAGTTAGAGGATAGCATTAAGGGAGCGACAAGAAGCCGCTGGGAAAGGATGTGCCAAAGGATGAATCTTAGTTTTGCCAGGCAGCCTGCATATACTAAACTGGGAAGCTAATCGATATATTTTAATGTCTTCTATGGAATTCTTTGTGTTTCTAAGAACCATATCCATTCTACTTAATTTTTTGGTTTAATTTTGTTTTCTTAAAGTTAGAAGCAACCCAAAAGTTAATTGCCTAGATTAATGAAACATTTTCCAAAGATATGACCTTAAAATATTATTAAAGTGGTTTCTAAAGAGTACAATAAACATTATCAATAGTTTTTTAAGCCTGTAGTTTAGGCAAATTCCTATGCAAAAAATCTTTACAAGTTCTCCATACAAAATCATTAAAGTTAAATTCATCTTATTACACCCCAAAATGACACCTAAAATAGAGAAATAACTAAGAAATAAAATCCTAAATTTAACAATTCATATTTCTTTAGTAAATATTCTTTAGTTTAATCTCTAATAATACGTTTTTTATGAAATAGTTAAACCAATATTTTCGAAATCTCAAGAACTTAAAACAGTTTTCCCTGTCCCAAAATATCTCCCACATTTTTCAAACAAAATCCATAAAGGTGACTTCAATTTTCCCTCAGCAAACTCCATAAAGTTGTGTTAATATTTTTCCTCAAACTCCAAGTCTTTCACCTCTTACAGAATTGCCATAAACGGGACAGAGTCAACGTTCTCTATATAGATGGCATTACACAATCAGATGCTGTTCCGTGACCCCTTGGTAGCGCCTGAATAAAACCGTTTAGCCAGAAAACCAAAAACCGAAAGATACGCAGAGACCTTAATTAAATTTTTGTTGCCTGAACAGGAATTTTGTTTCGTTCTTGACTTCAGTTTCTGTGTTAACTTGTTCTAAGTACGCTGCTTTTTATGACCCCCATACAGGGCTCCAATGATGATGATGATGATGATGATGATAATGATGATCATAATAATAATAATGATGATGGACAGAAACGGACAAGTTTCACAATTTGCTCGCGGGTTTATCATGTCCAGAGTGCGTTTTGACCTCTTGGCGAGTACGTGCCTGGCCTCAGAGTGTGACAAACTTGTTTTTTTTTTTTTTTCTTTTCTACCTTTCAGCCTTTTTGCTTTTGGTAGTAGCTAGTAGTAGTGGCCTGTAGTTGTTGCTTTTATGACTTAATGCCGCGTACGCCGCGCAATTTCAATTACATGGCGAACCCAACAGGCCGCAAAACGGTTTACATGGCTGTTACAAGGGGGCCAGAGATATATTTAGAGCAGTTAGCTCACCCTCCTCCTACCCCTTCCAACACTTTCATTTCTAGATGCTTAGACGGGGGGAGAGGAAGCTATGTTGTAAGACCTTCGACCGCGGCCAGGTGCCAAATTTGACAGGCGAACGCTCGAGTCGCGCATAATTTATGCCCAACAAAACCGAAAACTATGATGGTGGGAGAAGAGGGAACAGAATGGTTGGGAGTTGACCTGGCCTTAGACAGCCTGCGGCACGTGGCCAACTTTATGATTTCTCGCCTTGCAGTTGGACACGGGGTGGTGAGTGGGTTCATCTTCTTGGCTGAGTAGCTCTACAAGGCACATGCATTTTTGATGACCCTTTTTGGAAGTGGCAAAAAGACGGAATTTAATCAAGCGCTGCAGGTGCAAATGGATGAGATGAAAACTCAAGCAAATTTGTGAATAGTTCTGCAAGGAAAACTAGCTGCAGCTTGGGAGGTATTTATGTAAGAAAAGGAAAACAGGATTTTAAAGTTATTTGCGGTTCTACATAATTTAAAAACCCAATGTGTAAAACGGCAATTTTACACGCTTTTTCAAATTATTTTTTTATTTAATAAAAAGCTGATCTTAAAATATGTTTTTGTTTCGAAAAATTTGGCTGCTGAATATCATAAATTAAGCTATATATCTTCTTACAACTGGGGAATAAAAGCAGATAATTGCCGAACTTTTGGAAAGTAAGCCCTAGCACTTTCGAAACTTTGTAAATTTTGGTATGAAAATATTTTTATATATGTTGACCTCTACACAGTACAGAATTTTTGTTGGTCGAACTATTAAATCAAATCGGTTTTATGAATTCTTTAAATACACATTCAGACCGGAAAGGGAGTCTCCCTTCTGAGCTCATAAATTTTACATGTAGAACATGTAAAATATCCCAAGTTTCGCTCCTAGCAGTTGCATAATAAACTAACATGAGTTAAGTCCTTTGCGTAAAATCAATTCCTTGAGTCAATGAAAAGTATCGGAGATAAATAATTCAAAGTGCATCCAAACTGTAAATTTTTTCTAATTTTACTTGCATACAAATAATATATTATATGGCTTAGATTCTTAGATTCTTAGATTCATAAATTCCATTTAATTTGAAACCTCACTATTGCGCTAATTCATTTTGCAGCATTAAGCTTTTGTAAGACTACTTAACACCCATAGTAAAAAGTCATTAAAACTGTCAGTGTAGTGTGCTAGATTTTCTTAATCACTTGTATATATTAAGATTTGTTATCAAAAAAAAGTATTATATTTATATTTTATAAAAGGCTTGTTACTATGCCGCCATCAAACTAATAACAGCCTCATAGCCGATTTCTACACCATTTCTGTTATCCCAACCGACTGTTAAACGTACTTAATGTTAACGATTTAGTGTTACCAAATAATTTCCACGGCAGCATCTTTTAGGAAATCCATGAACATAGGGTGAAAGTAATTTTAACAGATGGTATCACTAGCAGCAACGGATAGTCGAAAAAAAAATTGAACGGTTGTGGTTGTGGGTGGATGTTCGATTGTTTTCGCTCGCAAGAATAAAACTCGTGAAATCTCAAAAGACCCGCAAATGCTCTTCGACTTGTGACTCGAAGGGTTATTTTGAATCAAATTCGAAATTCATATAAAACGAAAAAGAGCGGGAAAACGTAGCGTGAATTTAAAGGACTCATTGTTGTTGTCGTTTAAAGTTAGTGGAGATATAAATAACAAAGAAGAAGAGGTGAAGAAGAACAAGCCAAGTGTTTTTCCCTGTGAAGTGAAAAGGAGCAAAAGGGAAGGCATCATCATTTACCGTTATCAGCGACACCCGGCAATAACAAAATCATGTTGATCTCGTGCAAATGCTTGAATTTCGTTGCCTCGACTTCGAAATTGCAGCGCAGCCACAGTACCAATGTCGCCGGGGGCGGAGTGGGCGGTACCGGCTCGTCTAACGGTAATCCTGATGGAGCCAGCGGAATAAACATTGGCGAAGACGCGTTCTCGATCCTTATGTCGCAGGAGTTCGAACGGAAATATCCAAGGGATTTCATGTTCCACAGCCAGTTCATGAACTTCTTCAAGCACGTAAGTCCTATAATACCGTACTATACAGCCTTTCGATATATAGTTCGTCACCCGATTATCGCCCCAATGTGCTAGAACAGGATGGAACATATATTGATTGGGGGGGTAGGCAAAAACAACAACAATAACCGCGCAGCATAAAAAGCAACAACAGTGGACAAAAGGCCTATGCTGGGCCACTAGTGCGCGCTCTTACGCTCTCTCTCTCTCTATCACTTTTCGGGTTTACAGTAGTCACACAATTAAAAGAATCAAAAGGAATTAAAAAAAAAAGACAACAGCTAAGCAAGCAAAAATGCAAAATTCGGCTTTAAAACTAAAATTTAAAGTAAACATATTACCGAATCTTAAAAAAAAAACAAACAAAAAATTGACTAAGGATTATTTTTGATCTTTTCATTATTCTGAACCACTAAATTACAAATATATTATATAATTTGATTTAACGAAATTGGTTCAACAATATGTGCTTTTGATAAAGGAAAATGCGAATTTTAAATACATTATTATACTAAACTAATGTAGTGTAAATAATAACATAACCAAATTTGTATTACTAAGGGAATTTTTAAGCGAAATTCACTGTATTTGCATTGTTGCGTTGAGTGTGTGCGAGTGTATGTGTGTGTTTATTATCGTTCTTTATGCTTTGTGTGCCGGCCTATGGCTTTTGCTTTTGCTTTTTGCCGTTTCTGCCTGTGCCGCCTATTCTCACACACACAAAACAAACATAGGCCTATATAGGCCTGGAATCGGGTATGGGAATGGAATGGAAATGGAAGGGGGATGGTCTATGAAGGGATGTGTAGGGAATGTGGAAGGGCAAGAAGAAATAGGGTCATCCATTCGCTCATGGGAAAAATCGTGAGCAATCCTCACATTTTCTGGTTTATTTTCGGCCTGCCCAAGTGCAACTCACATCTCTCATCCGCTCCTTCGGCCTTCCCCACCCCCGTCCTTTTCCTCCTTTTCCGCACCTGTTCATCATCCGCTCCTTCTTTTCACAACAGGAACACCCTGTTCTTTTTCGGTATTTCTCTTTGCCAACCTGATCGCCGGTATTTTTAGTTTCCTGCGTCAGCTTCTGTTTTACTCGCCTTACTTTTCCCCGTTTTTATTCGCGTTTTTATTTTATGATTTATGCGCTTTTGCTTTTCATTTGTCACGCCCTCAGTTGTAAGTAATTTGCATAATTTTGTTCTGAAATTTTCAGCTCTTTTCATTTTTTTTTGCTTCCCCAAAACACGTCACAAAGTCACAAAGGGGTTGGCATTCCCGGGCATTTCAGGGGTTAAGTAAAGTCGGTTCATAGGTAGCAATTTTCTAGTATTGGAATTCGGTAATTTGTATGTTACTGGGTAATATACAATCCCTTAGATTGTCTTTTAATTTCTAAAAAGAGATGTTTCTTTTGGAACTCTTAGAACGTATTTATTTGTCAATATACATATGTATATTGTTTCCCTATATGTACAAATTTTTCACAAAAACAGGCCTGTTTATTTGCGGATTTCATCAAAAAATTCACCCACATATCAGTTTTAGACCCCCTGGCTAGTTCTTTATTAGTGATTACAATTCTGTTTCTATAACGCTAATATTGAAGATTCTTTTAAAAAGTTTCCAGACGTTTAATGTTCCTTTTTTTTTTATAAAATTTTCCTATATTTACAAGAAAAATAAATAAACAATTTGTAAATTTAAGCTTATCATTCACAAACAAATAAGGTAGTAAATTATACCTGTCTTGAATTTACCGTCATTAACATTTATTACTTTGAAAAACATTTTATTTTATGAAGTCATAAATTGTTTGTTTTTTTGAATGACTAAATAATTAAATAAGATAAGTTTTCAGTAATTTTATTATAAGTTTCCATTTGGAACCATTAAAATAATAGTTTATTTAAATACAAGAAATGGTATATAAACAACCTCTTTTAAATAAATAAGTTGTTTATTTGTTAAGTCATTAAATAAATATATAAAAAGCTATTGGCAAATCAGTACCATTAGGAATAAACTTTTGATTTAACTTCATAACCGAATGGTTAATATTTGCTTTTTATTATATTTACATTCAAATGATATGCATAAATTCAGATCGTAAGTGTTTTTTATTAAAAAAGTAAACTGGTTTCTAAGTAGTTGACATTTGCAAACAAATAATACTTTGGACTATACCCTATAAGAAGTTTCATTTGGGAACCTTTCACCTGACTTTTAATGGTTTATTATTAAATTGTACTGTTTTTTTCCCTCGTTCGTTTCTGGTTTATACCAATATCCAAATCCCAAAAAAATATACAGAATCTCTGCGTCATCGCCGGTTGTCTTGTCCACACTTTTCAAGGTTAAATCTCTCTATTCCCCTTTTTCTTTCTCTCCGTCTCCGTTTTATCCCCTCCTTCGACCACGACACTTGTCACATTTTGACAGCCACTGGAGCTGCTAAGCTGAGGTTTGAAAATCAGTGGGTGTATGGGTGGAGGTTCAAGAGGGTTCTCCTCCCTCTCATTGTAATTGCTCCGATTTTACAGTGAAACTTCCTTAATTTTTCTAACTTAAAGAAACTAAACTGGTTTTATTGTTTAAAAAGTGTTTTTATAGGCATGTTGAAGTTCTCTTAACTTGGTTTATTGTGGACGAAATAGTTGTTTGTATTATAGAATACAGACTGTATTTATTTTTAACCACTGGTTATCGCAGTTATTGCACATCAGTCGCTTTGCCGCAGGCTGTGTAACCCGAGTGCCTTATTTGTTGTAATGCAAAATTGAATTGTCGAATAAAGCTACGTCTTGTTAGTTTTTGTTTTTGCGGTTTAGAGATCGCCCGATATTGCCACTATTGTTGCTTTAGTTGCTTTTGTTGCTTTGTGTTGCACCCACTTCAAAAGCGCTGAGGCGTACAACAACAACATCAGCAGCAGCAATACAGACAATACAAATAGACCAAAAGTGTTATTTTGAATAATTCAAAGCTCAAAACAAAACAAAAAACCAGAAGAAAACAGCACAAATAAAATTGTGAGAAACGCCGGAGAGGAAATACTCTTTTCTTTTAATAACACTTTTTTAGTGTTTTTTTATAAAATTTAATTGAATAATGAATAAGATATTAGTAAACCTAAGCCAGTTTAAGTCTGATTGGAAAGCATATCTCACGGGTTGATAATTAAACTAAGCTTAGAACTTTCGTATAAACCTTGAAATCTGCACCCAAAAAGTATCACACAGCTGACGATCGAAATTCTGTATCACTCAGGGTATAACTTTTATTCAAATACACATCATAGCATATATTCCACAAGTATACATATATATAAATTTGTATATATATATATTCGTATGCACAAGCTCGTGTGTATATATGTATGTATATTCTCTATATAGAGCCAAAACGGAACGCTTTTAGAATAAATTACGAAACCAGCGACAAAATACAAGCAAGAAGTAAAAAGCACAAAGAGTGGTCGAAGAGGGGGCAGTGGTGGGCGGGACAAAGACGAAGGCAGAGGAAGAACAACAACAGCCGAGCCGAAATACAAAACAAAAAAACTTGTTTATAATTTTTCCGCCCCCATCTCTTTGCAGTTTGTGTGTGTGTGTGTGTGTGTGCGAGTGTGTATATGTGTGTTGGATAAACAAGTTTTCGAGATTTCCAAATGCGGCCGGCCGGGTACTGGACCGCCGTAAAGTCGATGGAGTAGTCCAGGGAAGAGGAAGAAAGGGGCTATCCAAAAGGCCCAATAGAGGGGGAGTTACTCCAAGACCCTCACTCGAAAAAAAGTCCCAGCGATAACAGTCTTTTATAGCTAGCTAACTATCAAAATCACTTTATACATATGCTTTAAAATCCCTAGAGTGATTTTTAAAATGAATTCATTTTAAAAGGAATTTTCCTTTGAAAGTTTTACAATCAAAACAACTTCAAGTCACCATAAACAGCCAATTATTTAATCTGAAATGTAAGTTTTTTAAGTAAAGTTTCTAAACAAGGATAAAAAACTATTACACAGCCTTAAAATTCGTATGATAAAGATATTATTGTTTTTAAAATGAGATACAAGCCACAAAAAAAGTATCTGAAAGTGTAGTTTTTGCAAGTAAACTACATAAACATTGATAATTGGCTTTCCAAAAGTTGAAAAAAATTGTTTATTTTAAGGATCATGTTTTTGTTAAGCTTTTTAAGTAAGTTACTCACAATAAACTAATCTTAAGCTGTAAAAGTTCGCAAACAAAGGTAATCAAATCTATTATATTTTTCGCTATGTGTAGGCACATAAAAGACACCCATGAGCACAATATATTCAAAGCCGGGTAGGGGGTCACTAAGGCATACAGAGATGGCTGGCGAATGGTTTTTCGGGCCCACTTGATGGGCCAGTTGACAGTCGGAGCACCACTAACCCTCCCTCCTCATAAAAGCTCTCGACTGCGTAGGCCCCCAAAAAAACAAAAATGTTTAAATTATGAATTTATGCATAACAAAAATTTGTTGAAACGCTGAACGACATATGGCAAGCGTTTTGATGAGCTATGTAGCAAGGCTTGGCTATGCTTGAATTTTGTTAACTCGAACTTCCTCATGTCTTGTATAACACAAATTGAATTGACTGGCAATAGAGTGATTCAATTCAAAACAAACTAAATGTGACATCTGTTTACGATTCTAATTGTCTAGGAAAACATTAAATTATGTTTAATGGTTGTGCCATGATATGATAATAGAGAAGAGTGTTTATCATCATGATTTTCGATTTCGAAAACTTGTTTCTCAAAATGATATGTTAATTTGCTAAACCTAATGATGTATTTTAACAACTTTATAAAATCATGATCTATTTTTGTATCTTATTGGTTTTTTTAAAGGTGGATAGTAAAAAACGACCTTATTCTTCAAATGGATATGTGTATCTTAGAGATTGTTTGTGTGATTGCCTCTTAAGTCAGCTATAAAAAAAATATATAAAAAACCAAGTTGTGATTGTACGC